TATTGGCAAGAATCTATGGTGCCCCTTTCCTTAGTAAGTGGAGGTTGACCGGGGTGACTTGGCTCGAGCTAATGCAATGCAGCCCTCTACCCTCTTTTTTACTACGCCTACCACTACAGATACGAAGACTGGATCAAGTCGGAGGAATGGACATTCATCTTCTGTGTCTTGCTTGGTGCCGGACATGCTCTGAGTTTCCTCACTACCGCCTGGAGTAGCGGAATTAATGCCAAGGTCGCCTATACTACCGTTAGTAACATTGAGAAGCAATATACCTTCTGTGACTGACCACTTGCATAGGCCGACTCCTTGAAGACTGCTTCCCGTATTAGGGTCATCCCCAAGAAGGGGCGGGGAAAGGGTGATATCATCCCGCTTGAACGCAAGGAGACCCCTGGCTCCGTCAAACCTGCTTATTCTTTCAACTATCAGAGAGACACTTATGTCTACAACTGTACGTCACCTCAAGTTACTGCTTAACTTCGCTCATGTCAATGTAGCCTCGGATAACGCCTTCACTCGAATCCCCTATCCCTGCGATGCTGCCCCCCCTCTTTCCATCTTCCAGACCTCCCGCGGTATTCTTACCCACGCTCCTCTCAAAGACAAGCCCACTCCTCCTGTGACCGGCCTGCCCAACCTGGACACTCTGAAGGCGACCTACGGTTCCAACGAATGCCACATCCCTATCCCCAAGTTCACCGAACTTTTCGCGGAACACGCTGTCGCGCCATTCTTCGTCTTCCAGATGTTCTGTGTTGCTCTCTGGTGCTTGGACGAATACTGGTACTACTCTCTGTTCACAGCCTTCATGCTGGTTGTCTTTGAGTGCACTGTCGTCTTCCAGCGAGTCAAGACTCTCCAAGAGTTCCGCACCATGAGCATCACTCCTTACCAGGTGCAGACTTTCCGGGATGGCAAGTGGACCTCTGTTCTCACTACCGATCTTGTCCCTGGTGACCTCGTTTCTGTCCTCCGAACCAACCCCGACTCTGGCGTCCCCTGCGACTTGTTGCTGCTCCGTGGCACTGCCATCGTCAACGAAGCCATGCTTTCCGGCGAATCCACCCCTCTACTCAAGGAAAGCGTTGAGCTCAGGGAAGGCACCGACAGGCTCGACATGAACGGCGCTGACAGGAACAACGTTCTCTTCTCCGGTACCAAGGCATTGCAGGTCGAGAAGGCCGCCGAGGGTGGTCTCACCACTCCGGATGATGGTTGTCTTGCTGTTGTTCTTCGTACCGGCTTCGGCACCACTCAGGGTCAACTCGTCCGAACCATGATCTTCTCTACCGAGCGTGTGTCCGCCAACACTTTCGAAGCTTTCCTGTTCATCGGTTTCCTCCTCATCTTTGCCATTGCGGCCAGTGCCTATGTCTGGATCAAGGGACTTGAGCGAGGTATGGCCAAGGGCAAGCTCTTGTTGGACTGTGTTCTCATTATCACCTCTGTTGTTCCTCCCGAGCTTCCCATGGAGCTTTCCTTGGCTGTCAATGCTTCCCTCGTTGCCCTTCAAAAGTTCGCCATCTTCTGCACCGAGCCCTTCCGAATCCCATGGGCCGGTCGAGTGGACGTCTGCTGTTTCGACAAGACTGGTACCATTACCGGTGAAGACCTCGTTGTCGAGGGTATTGCTGGTGTCAAGTCTACCGACCCCAAGGCTCTCGTCCCTGTTACCGCCAGCAGCAAGGACACTACCCTTGCTCTTGCTGCTGCTCACGCTTTGGTCCTCTTGGATGACGGAACTATTGTCGGTGACCCCATGGAGAAGACCACTCTGGCTGCGCTTGACTGGAAGATCTCCAAGGGCGACCAGATCAGTCCTATCAGCAAGGAAGCTCCTCACAAGGCCCAGGTCCATATCAAGCGCCGATATCAATTTTCCTCTGCTCTCAAGCGAATGTCTACCATCTCTACCGTGTCTGAACCCAGTGGCGGTAAGCGATGGATCGCTGCCGTTAAAGGTGCTCCCGAGACTCTCAAGGGCATGTATGTCTCTGTCCCGGAATGGTACGAGGAGACCTACAGGTGGTACACTCGTCGTGGTAGCCGAGTTTTGGCTCTGGGTGTCAAGTCTATGAACGTGCAAGTTGAAAAGGTAAGCGATATCCTTATGAAGTGGATGCATGCTGATCAGTGACAGGTCAAGGATATCCACCGAGACCAGGTCGAGTGTGGCCTCACTTTCGCCGGTTTCCTTGTCTTCCACTGTCCTCTCAAGCCGGACGCTGTCGAATCTCTCAAGATGCTCAACGACTCTTCTCACCGAGTGAGTATGACACCTGGAAAAGAGAAACCAAGCTGACTGATCGGTAGTGTGTTATGATTACCGGTGACAACCCCTTGACTGCTGTCCACGTTGCCAGGGATGTCGAAATTGTTGACCGTGATGTCTTGATCCTTGACGTCAAGGAGGAGTCCGCCGGCGAGCTGGTATGGCACAATGTTGACGACTCTGTGATCATTCCGGTCCGACCTTCGGAGCCTTTCGACCAGTCTCTCTTCGACAAGTATGACATCTGTGTCACTGGCGTCGCCCTCAAGCAGTACGAGCAGCTTTCCTCCGTCACCGACCTCATTCAAAACACCTACGTCTACGCGCGAGTGTCTCCCAACCAGAAGGAGTTTATCATCACCACTCTCCGTTCGCTTGGATTCACTACTCTTATGGCTGGAGACGGTACCAACGATGTCGGCGCTCTCAAGGCTGCCCACATCGGTGTCGCTCTTCTCGACGGTTCTCCCGAGGACTTGAAGGCTATCGCCGAGCACCACAAGCTCGAGAGGATGAAGAAGGTCTACGAGCAGCAAGTCCGAATTTCTGCTAGGTTTAACCAGCCTCCTCCGCCTCCTCCCCCTGCTCTCAGAGAGGCGTTCCCCGAACTGGTCAAGACCCAGCAAGAGGTTGCTGTTGCCCACGCCAACGCCAGGAAGCAGAGCCCCTTGGAGAAGTTTGACATGACTACAATTACCGCCAAGCTCTCTGAGATGGACGAAGACCAGGAAGTACCCCAGATCAAGCTCGGTGATGCTTCTTGCGCTGCTCCCTTTACTTCCAAGCTGTCTAATGTCTCTGCTAGTGAGTTATTGCTTTGCCCGTTACGACTGACGCTGATGTTATCTAGTTACCAACATCATCCGACAAGGCCGATGCACTTTGGTCGCCACTATTCAGATGTACAAGATCCTCGCACTCAACTGTTTGATCACTGCCTACTCTTTGTCTGTCCAATACCTCGACGGTATCAAATTTGGCGACTACCAAGTCACCATCACTGGTATGATGATGAGTGTCTGCTTCTTGTGTATCTCTAGGGCCAAGGTGAGTGGTGCGCTGTGCGGCAAAGCATGAGCTGACATGTTTGCAGCCCGTGGAGAAGCTCTCCAAGGAGAGGCCTCTTGGCAACATTTTCAACTTTTACGTCTTGCTCTCTGTCTTGCTCCAATTCGCCGTCCACATCATAACTTTGGTCTACATCACTGGTCTCTCCAAATCTCTCGAAGAGTGAGTCTATTCATCACTTGCCAGGTCACGACTGACATTTCGAAACAGCCGAGGTGCGATTGACCTCGAAAAGAAGTTTGAGCCCACTCTCTTGAACACTGCCATCTACCTCCTCGGTCTCTCTCAGCAGGTCTCCACCTTTGTGCTCAACTTCCAAGGCCGTCCCTTCCGAGAGGGTATCCGAGAGAATCCTCCTCTGTACTATGGTCTTCTCGGCGCCAGTCTGGTCGCCTACTGCGGTGCCACGGACTTTATCCCCGAGCTCAACAGGTGGTTGCAGTTGGTCGAGATGACTAGTTCTGTAAGTCGTGCCAACGTTCATGGGTGATTACCAGCTGACTCTTTATCTTTTAGTTCCGATTCAGGCTCGCCACCTCCATGGCTCTCGACTTTCTCCTCTGTTACGTCGTCGAAACCGGCTGCAAAGCCTTGTTTGCCGACATTGAGCCCGTCGCGTTCGTGACCAAGGGCCGAGAGAGGAGGGAGAAGAGGCGAAGGGAAGAAGCCCTCAAGTTGCGAGAGGCTGAAAAGGCGAGGCTTATTGCTGAGGGTGAGAAGAAGGGTCAGTAGATGGGTGTTGTGTTTTAAATCAAGTTCATTACCTACATACGTTGTGTTCCTTTCTCCCTCTCTTTTCCAAAGTGTGTTATAGAGTCCAGTCATGCATTTGCACGCGCACCTTCTCACAACTTACAACGAGCTATGAACCGGGTGGCAACACATTCTGTATTTGGTTGGCCCTGGTATAAGGCTAGTACTGTATGCTAGGATAGAGTGATCTGCTCGAGTCAGTCGATCATCTCGATGACCGCAAATGAACGATTCGACACATTCGGCCGTCGAGTCTGCGTGTCCGAACCAACAAATGTCGGCCTTATCGCTATCAGAAGAAGCGAGACGGACATAATTAATGCAAGGGAACGTGGCGACCAAGCGAGGTATATAGATTAAAACGCGAGAGGATGGCGCGACGAGCAATCACCGTTGCGACGGCGTGGGCTCTCGTGAGAAATTGCAGCTTGTTGACAAGTCTATATGCAAGCCCTCACGACTGACGACAGTGAACAGGAGGCAGAGGGGTGACATATGGTTGTGAATTCACACCCGGATGATTGGGCAAGTGAGACCGTTTGTTGGCGGAGGGTCCAAACAGCGAAGGCAGAAAGATCAGTCAACATGCAAACATGCAAGAACGAAGCTGCGTGGCTAGAATCTTCGGCAGAAGTAGCCGGGTGACTAACATGGGCGTTACTCCCGTCGTTGGGGATGGGGGAAGGTGAGTGCGCAACGGGACCAAACGAGGCGGACAACCGCGCACGGCCGGACAGCAAGGCTTCGGGGGCCCGTGGACGTCTTCTATCTCGCACGGACATGGGCAGGGGAGCCAATGGGCGGCGGCGGGATTTGCTGAGTGTGTCCGGACGGCAGCGGGAGATGTAGGTACGGGACCAGGCACGTTTATTGCGTTTTGATCGTGGATGGGGCGATTTTTGTTGAGGCCGAGTAAAGCCATGATAAATAAATAAGTGAAGTACATCGCCCCTCGCATCCAGCATCCGCCACCATACCCCCCCAAGCAGCGCACTCCGCGCTCAAAGCCCTTCGCACCAGATCCTTTCTGTCCCGGACACCCCTCCCCCGCTCTCAACGCCACATCCACTCCACCATTCCCTCCAAGATGCCATTCCACGCAGAACCCCTCCAGCCCTCAGAGGAAATCGACATGGACCTCGAGCACTCCCTGGCCGCCCAGAAATTCAAGGAGGTCAGGGCCGTGCTCGAAGGCAACAGGTGGTGGGCCAGGCGAGTCCACGCGGAAGAGCCCCAGTTCTGTGAGGAGCAAGTCAAGGGTCAGGTTCGTAGCTCTGCACTGTGGAACGCTGTACGCGTACTGAACATGCTCTGCAGGCCCCCAACTTTCTCTGGATTGGCTGTGCCGACTCTCGAGTGCCCGAGGTCACGGTGATGGCCCGCAAGCCCGGAGAGGTCTTTGTCCAGGTGCGTGGTACCGCGATTTGCACTGGGCTGCTCTAATCAAGGCTTGGCATTCGCAGCGGAACGTCGCCAACCAGTTCAAGCCCGAGGACGACTCTTCCCAGGCTCTGCTCAACTACGCCATCATGAACGTCGGCGTAACCCACGGTGAGCCCGACCCCTCCTTTGCCAAGCCATATTTAGCTCATTCTCTTATCTTTCAGTCATGGTCGTCGGCCACACTGGTTGCGGTGGTTGCATCGCCGCATTCGACCAGCCTGCCCCCAGAACTGAGGACGGCGCTGATGCTGCTGGTACTCCCCTCGTGCGATACCTCGACCCCATCATCCGGTTGAGGCACTCTTTGCCTGAGGGCAGCGACGTGAACGACTTGATCAGGGAGAATGTCAAGATGAGCGTCAAGAATGTTATCGACAGTCCGGTAAGTCACAACGGGATACGTAAAGGTTGTGGGTTGACAGGAAGCATAGACCATCCAAGAAGCTTGGGCCCAGAACAGGAAGGGAGAGTTCCGCCCAGTTTACGTCCACGGTTGGGTAAGTACGGCTGTATCAAAGGTGTTTCCTTACTGACTTTGAACAGTTGTATGACCTTTCCACCGGCTACATTATCGACCTCAACGTCACCGAGGGCCCCGAACCCATTGTCGACCACCGAATCACCCCAGAGACCTCTCCCGTTGCTAACGGCGCCAAACCCACTCCCGCTGAAGAGTCTGAAGCGTTCCGAGCCACCCCCATCCTTGCTTAAATCGTGTTTTCATTAGAGATTTGTTGTGTATAGAAGGTTCGGACATGAGGATTGCGAATGTAAAATTAGAGCAGGTAGCGGCACCCGTCACATGCTTGCACATGCGGTGTATGTGTCGTGGCCGAGGACATCCAGTGTATGCAATTATGCGCCACACCCGTGAACCGTGACTGCATTGTGACCCATCCATCGCCACTCACATTAAATCGGGATCGTTCCTGGACGAGTATGAGATTTCGCGTCGAGTTGTCAAAAGTACTTACGCGTTTCATCAACTCTTCAACTTGATCTGTTCGCCATATACCCCCGCCGATGCTCTAATTATACAACACCACACTCCCCAAAAGCCGCCAAACTGCGACCACCCATCAGCCCAGCCCGGGCCCATCCGGGCAAACTCACCTCGCCTCTGCGAGGGATCGCGTGCGCGTCTTTACGGCCGTCTGACCTCAGCCGTCCTCGATCAAGTCGTATTCCACAAGAACGGCTCTTATCAAACTTCAACAACCCCCCACCATCATCGCCAAAGCTTCTCCAGGAAACAAGAGGTGACTCTTCGAAACGGTTAGACCGTGCTTTCCGATCTTCCTCGAGAGCCGCCGCTCAGGTCTTGCCCGAATCGGTATACCCCGGTCAACCAACTGAGCCTTTCTGGTTGAACCGAGATGGAAGAAAGGCGGACGGTCTTCCATTCCCTCCCGAGTGGAAGCAGCAGCGAAAGACGATCAAGAACCCCGGCAATGCTGCCCGTGTATCACCGCCCGCCCAAGACCTCCAACTCTCCGATGCCCAGCTGAATAAGCTAGCTTCTGAAGACGTAGATTTCGGAGAGGCAGATGCTTTCCCGGGTCTCAACCTCGGTGCGCTGGCTTTGGAAGCTCAGGCGTTGGAAGGGGCACAGAGTGATCCTGGGGTTATGGGCGGGGTGGACGATTGGGGATCGATTGTGGATATGCCCATGCCTGCTGCCCCGCCGATGGATGTCTTTCCGGAAGAGCCTCTTCCTGCGCGTAGTCAGTCGGCCAGATCAATAGCGCAAAAGACTGCCCGTGCCCAAGCTACCGACCGTCAGAACGCCCGATCCTCTCTTGAACAGGAACAGGAAAAGCCAGTCATCCAGACGCGCTATGAATATCCCGAGCTTGCTCCTGACGGGTTCCCCCAAGATGGGTTCACCAGGTTTGACTGGCGCGATCGTGCCATGAGCCAACAGGAACGCAGTGAGCGTCGAAGCGGACGTTGGCTCTATCCTTCACGGCCTTTTCGCGTTCAGCAAAAGCTGCCAAAGCTGGCTAAAGATCACCCGCTCTATCCAGCTATGGAACGGTACGAGGACAACTTTGTACCGCTTCTAACAGCAGAGATGGAAGAGGAGATGAGAATGTTTGACGCGCGGTTGAAAGAGTGGACTATCCAGCGACTGGTCGGATCGGGCTATGCGCTCGAGAATACGCTGGCCACTTTTGCGTGGGAAACAAAGCAAGGCGGGGCGGTCTATAAATTCGCAAAGAAGCGAGAGGCCATCATGGCTCCTCGATTCGGGTAGGTCATTCCCTCGCTTGATCGTGGGCTTGTATTGATTGGTGCAGTACCGGGACGTACGTCTTGTTATCACGGACAGACCCCAATGTGGATCCTCTGGTCAATGACCAAAATCAACCTATCGTCGCTACGGTACGATCTGTTGGTAACGGAAACCTCTTTATCGCATTCGACAAGCCGATACCTGACCTTACCAAGGGGCAGTGGCGGTAAGTCACCACCACTTGTCTGTGAGGTAGCCGCTGATGTATCATACAGATTGGACGTTGGTTATTCCGATTTCGTGTTCCAGAGACAATTCGATGCCATCAAAGCCTTGTCTTATGATCCCCTGGAACAAGACATGGCAGAATTCTTGGACGAGCGCGACGCCACACCCGGAGAAGAGTTGAGCAAAAGGCGAGAAAGGCGAGAGCAGGGCTTTCTGCAGGGCACTGCTCTGCGTGAACCACTGTTCAGATCCTTCCTCCAGGCTTCACAAGGACCCGAGTTGGCATCTGATGGTATCGTACAAGACCAACACGAACTTGCTCCTACCGACCTACCCACGAACCCCAACCCACAGCTCACCGACCTCGCCCCTGGAATCGTCAAACCAAGTCAGCTCATGCGAAATGACTTGCTGAAGAGCTGGGCGGAGAGGCACCGGTCAGAGAAGGAGGTGCCGCAGGAGGTTGAAGGGGATCCACATGTCCCCCTCAATCGAACACAGTTGAGGGCGATAGGGATGATGTTGAGTCAGAGCTTGAGTCTTGTTCAAGGAGTGAGTCTATGCTCTACCAAGGTAACGCACCTGACAATGTGATAGCCCCCTGGAACCGGCAAGACTCGAGTGATCGTAGAGACCATCAAGCTACTCAAGCAACACTTTCAAGTACCCCACCCCATCCTCGTCTGCGCCCACACCAACGTCGCTGTCGACAATCTCCTCACTGGTCTCGACAAAGCTGGTCTGCGAGTAGTTCGCGTCGGGACGGAGGATAGAGTACCAGGGGATATGAAGCATACCACGCTCGAGGCGAGGCTGGAGGAACACCCGATGTGGGATGTCTTGAATCGGCTGGAGGATCAGAAGATGGCAGTGTGGGCGGAGAGAAAGTCGGCAGCCGATGCTCAGAGGTTAAGGGGAGAGCCTGTCAAGGAGGGTGCGTGAAGTCAAAGGTGTGAATTGGTCACGAGCTGATGGTCAACAGGAATGGGTAGAGACACTCTCAAAGCTCTGAACCAGAAAATATGGGGGTACAGAAGAGACATGACCAACGAAACCCTCTTGGATGCGGATGTGGTGAGCGCTCTGAGGCTCACACTATGGACAGTCACGCTGACATGAATCAGATCTGCACCACCTGTCTCTCGGCCGCCACCAGAAAGCTTCAATGCATCGACTTTCCTATCGTCTTTTTGGACGAGGCTAGTATGGCCACAGAGCCGCTTTCTCTGATCCCACTGATGAAAGGGGTGAGTCCTTCGAGTCATAGTCTGCCTGTACTGACCCTTCTCTAGTCAAGCCATGTGTCTATCATCGGTGACCACAAGCAATTACCACCAGTCATCAACTCGGAAGACGCTCACTCTGGTGGCCTGTCTACCAGTCTTTTCGAGCGACTGATCCACGAAGGCCGTAAGCCGTCGCACCAATCGTGAATTCCGCTTACCCTAGTCAAGATGTACCATCAATCATGCTCGATACCCAGTATCGGATGCACCCAGCCCTCTCCGCATTCCCCTCCAAAACGTTCTACTCTTCTCTTCTCCAAGACGGCACCCCGGCAGCTGCCCGCCCTGCTCCCAAGACTGCCTTCCTACTCGCTGACGACCCTGTGGCCGATCCATCCACAGGTGAGATGAGGGAGGTGGGTGAACGGAAGAGCATGACGTTTTTGAGTCATGAACACCAGGAGAGCGCTGTCATGAAGAGCTTGGCAAATTATGGGGACGCGGAATTGGTGGTGGATATTGTTGCAGACTTGTTGCACAAGAATCCGGTACGTCAATGTCCAGATTCATGTGGGCGATACTGATGGTGGAAATGGTAGGAAATGAAAGTGTCGGATATCGGTATCATCACCCCATACCTTGGACAGATCAAAGTCTTGCAGTCATCCCTTTACGCTTCGGAGACGCGAGAAAAGTTGATCGAGCTTCTTGGTGAAGCTCGTACCGACGAGCTGGGAGACATCGAAATCAAGACTGTTGATGGCTTTGAAGGGCGGGAGAAGGAGGTTATCATATTCAGTACAGTGAGGTGCAACTCTGGGGGGTATATCGGGTTCTTGGGAGACTGGAGGCGGGTGAATGTGGGACTGACCAGGGCCAGAAGAGTAAGTGTCACCTCACATCATCGCCATCCAAAGCTGACAGCTCTTGAGGCATTGATCATGCTGGGTAACAAACGGACATTGTCAACTGCTAAGATGGGCGCCCGAAGCAACGACAGTCTGCCGCAAGGTGGTTCCAAAGTGTGGAAGGACTTTATGGCGTATCTGGAGGAAGAGGGGATGATTATCGATGTAGAGGAATAGAATTTTGGGTCTTTGCTTGGCATCAGATGGAGTAGCATCTTATAGACGCGTGTACAATCAGAGTACATCTCAAATGTATTATCAATCCCCATTGATGCATGGGTACCGATGATGACTAAATGTACAACATATGGGCGGCATAGTCCATTTGATCTTCCCCGGATCTCCCCCCAGAGCTTCTCGACCCGAGCTTTATCTATCGGAAGTTGTATATTTTAACGCTGCTTGATGTTGGGATCCCTGAAGAGGTTTTTGCAGTTGATACAGGAGTAGAAGAGGGTCATGTTGGTAGTGATTCGCCGCCCTTGATCTTGGTAGAACACGGCACTGTAGAGCAATGAGCTGCGGTTCGATAGATAACGGTAGACGTACCCGTGATGATGGCAAGCAGGACATTCGATGGATGACCGTTGTAGAGCAGGGTCTGTATCGAGGTCTTTGGTTTCTCCTGGTTGTTCTCTGTTGTCTTTGTCAGCGACTCTGGCTCTCTGCCGACTTCACAACTTCCGCCCAGGCGCCCGACCCTCGGGCTTTAATCAAAACACCCAACCCACCTGGCAACAGTCAACAGATCATGCTTGTATACTCTTCCAGCCATTCCCGGCTCAATCGTAGCATTCTCAGTGTAGTTGCAGTTTCGACATTGATAGAGCAACACTTTGGCGTTGTTGTCGGACTGCAAGAGTGTTAGCATATCATCTAGCGGTATCATCCCCTGAATCATATCCCGTCCATCTATCTTCCATCGCAAGTCTAGTCCGGCAGGAGTGAATAATCGCAACGTACTTTGGGATAGAGGAGGTTGTTGCTATAGACCATCAGCACGAATCAACAAGCAATCTCCGCGGAGCTTACCATTCACCACAGAACTTGAGGGCGGGCATGGTTCTTGTGCACTACCAAGGGTGCTTTTGAAGGAGATCAAAGAATGAATTGAAGAATGAATGACCACAAAGCAGAATGCAGAACCACAACAAGGCCAGTCGAGAGGGATAGGCGTGCCACGTTCGGCGGTCGCCGCAAACGCCGTCATCGTCGCCTATTGCTCTCCACGCGTCACTCTCCTCTGTCTGTCTGCGTTTTCTCCCCCAGCTATAAACCTCCAGCTATACCCCCCGGCCGTTCTTCGCCATGAACATCTTCCGCTTCCTCGGCGACATCTCCCACCTCGCCTCCATCTTCATCCTCCTCCACAAGATCCAGACAACCCGCTCCTGCCGCGGCATATCATTCAAGTCGCAGCTCCTCTACCTCGTCGTATTCGTCACCCGCTATGTCGACCTCTTTTTCTACCCCCTCATATCCATCTACAACACCCTCATGAAGCTCTTCTTCATCGGCTCAACAGCCTATGTGCTGTACCTCATGAAGGTCAAGTTTAGGTGCGTCCAGCTCGATCCTTGCCAGATATCCCGCCCGACAAGCGCTGATCCATCCGCTTTTTTGCCCCAGACCAACCCACGACGCTTCACTGGATACCTTCCAGCTCGCCTACATCCTCGGCCCCGTCGCCGTGCTCGCCCTCATCTTCAACTATGAATTCACCCCGTTCGAGATCACCTGGTCATTCTCCATCTGGCTCGAATCGGTCGCCATCCTGCCGCAGCTGTTTATGCTCCAGCGAACGGGCGAGGCCGAGACTATCACCACGCACTATCTTGCGGCGTTGGCGCTTTACAGGGGACTGTATATCCCCAACTGGATGTACAGGTGAGTGGTAATGAGTGAAGAGTGTGTGGACAGAGGTTGACGTGGGATTCAGGTACTTCACCGAAGGCAAGTTTGACAGTATCGCGGTGTCTGCTGGTATCATCCAGACCCTCATCTACGCCGACTTTGGCTACATTGTGAGTCTCCCCCATTCGACTTGTATGCACACGTACTGAGACGATTGGGGTTAGTACGTCACCAAGGTCTTGCGTGGCCAGAAGTTTGAGCTCCCCGCGTAAACGGCGTGTCATGTTTTTGGAAACGTGTAAAACAGGTGAAAGGAGGCGCGAGAGCAGATGAATGGATGGAAACGAAAGGCAGAGTGTAGAGGGCTAGATGCCTACAGGATGTTCCAGGCCAGTGATACGGGACAAAACCGCATGAAATGATTCCAAAGCGCAATGAGAATGCCACAAGGGGAGGATGAAAGATGTCGAGGTGTGCAAAAGAAGAGTACTTGCTCGGCGTGGACCAAGGAGATGAGAAAAGGCAGCGAAACACTTGGAACCCATGTCGATGATCCGCTCATAACGTTGCTCCGTGTCCGCATTTGCACTGCATTTCTAAAGCACACAAAATAGCACTGATTTTCTGTCAAAAGTCCACCATCCAGACCCGCTGGGCCAATGTCCATTCCGCTAATTCTCAAAAGATGTTTATACAGATATCTGATACCCAACCAACACATTTTGAATACACAAACGTCCCCCATTCTCCTTTCTCCAAGAAGAGGAAAATTATCCATCGAGAGATTCACAAAAACTCCATTTTCTTCTTACAAGACCATCAAGGCGCCAAAGATACCAGCCACGAGCACGGCGGGACCAGCCACCAGACGCCCAGCGCTGGAGGAGGAGGAGGAAGAGGAAGAGTCAGCAGCGAGGCCAGAGCCCGCGGTGGAAGATCCGGTGCTGGAGCTGGCAGAAGAGGAGCCAGAGGCGGATGACTTGGCGGTGCCGGAAGATCCTGCGGCGCTAGAAACGGCAGAAGCTGAAGATGCCTCGGAGATGGTGGTGGGGGAGGTGCCAGAAGCGGAGGCGGCGGAGGAAGAGCTAGCTCCGGCACTCGCGGCAGAGGAAGAGCTTTGAGACGCGGTGGAAAGGGCGCTCGAAGAGTCACTGAAGAGACTGTCAGGTCGGAATCACTCATTGATGGAATGGAACTCACGTCTCTGAAGAAGAGGCTTCGCTCCAAGCAGAAGAAGTCGCGCTAGTCCTGAACGAACCTTATCAGCACATGTCAGATGTGGCGCGCCATCATAAACTCACTCTGAGGCAGTAGCAGAAATCGAATCGGACGCAGACCCAGCCGCCGAGCTCTCCAAAGCAGAGGTGGAAGAGGACAAGGCAGCACTCAGGGCGGAAGACTCGCTCGCGCTAGACCATTCGCTAGTAGAAGACGCGCCGGAAGCGGAAGACGAGTTGGTAGCCTCGGCGATGGCGGTGTTGGTCGTGGTAGCAGAGAAAGTGCCGTCGTCAGACATGGAGACATCGACGCCGTGGGCACTGCAGATCTCTTCGCCAGCGATTACTGCGTTGGTAACGTTGGAAGTCTAACGAAACCTTGTCAGATTTTTTCGCGTCTCGGCATCCGATGCTGCTGGACTCACGCTGCAGCTAGCGCTCAGACACGATCTGAGGTAGCCGACGACTTGCTCGTCGGTACAGTAGCAGGCAATATCTCCATCATCACAGGAAGACTAGACTCAATCAGCGTTGTTGCCCACCCGAGAACACTAAAATGAAAACGTACCCCGGCAGTGTCGACAGTGTTGAAGCAGTCATCGGCGCAGGAGGGGATAGTCGCGTTGTCGCGTCGGTGGAGGACGAGAGGGGCGCTGGATGCCTGGAACACGGACGGTCAGCAATCAGAAGAGTGTTTTGGTCAAGACGGGGACTCACAGACACGAGGGTGAGCAGCGAGGTGGCGGAGAGGAGGGTGGCGAACTTCATCTTACGGGGTGGGCGGGTAAGGAGCGTCGGGGATGTATGTATGCAGTACAGGAGGCAAGAAGGAAAGAGATGAAGAGAAAGAGAAATCGATGAAATGAGGATACAGAGATGTGGAATGGAGGCACGCTCCCTGAATCCCCTGCACCAGCGACCATTGTCGTCACAGACGCGTGAGTTGGTAACCCTGCCAAGCGGCGTGACGGGGTGCATCGGGGGATGTCTATGCATGGTATGTATGCATGGCAGAATAGTCAGCCCACAGCCCATCCCCCATGCATACATCCATACATGCATTCCCTTGCCCCCCTCTCCCATCGCTCAACGCGGCAAACAACCCCCAAACAGAACAAAAGAAGGGCTCGACCACGCGGACGCGCTAGTGAAACAGGCACCATCACCCGCGTTCGACGCGTACAATTCCCGTGGCATGTATATCCATATTAGATAGCAGAAAAACAGAAACACGCTCTACTTGTAAAAGAAGTCTTGGTTTGATAAGTTGACGTTCGTATGATACAAAAATGCTCGCCCTCGACTCTACTATGAGAATTGTTCACAACAAATGCTACACGCTGCCGCCGACCGACTCTATTCGCCTCGGCAACGCTTGATCTCCTTCTCGAGCGCCTCCTTGCCTTCCGCGGTGAGCACAGGTCGACCTTCTTCATAGTCGGGCTCGAAATACCGGGCGTGATGTCTACGCCTCATCAGTAACAGCCCCGCTATATCCAAATGATCACTCACGTCTCCTCGTTATCCTTTCGGGCCTGCGCCTTATCTCTTTGCGCCTGTTCAATCGTCTGTTTATTCTTGGTCGCCTCTCCCCAGTTCTTGCTCAACAACTGCTGCGTAACTGGTTCCCACAGCTTTCGACTCTCATACTCGTCCTGCTCCTCAATCGGACGGACATCCTTGGGGATGAGAGCGAGCTGGTCGAGGTCGAGCAGGATCTTCCACTCCTTTTGACCCTTGAGCTTGTAGCGGATCTGCTTCATCCAGCAGCCCTCAATGTAGCCCACGATCTTGTCGGACGGCACTTGTTTCGGTTTCGTCCAACCTTCTTGCTCTTCGTCGCCGACAGTGTAGCGGTAGATTACACCGTCGAGCAAAAACTTGGGTTTCCCGAGCCACGACTATCACATCATCAGCGCCCATCCCCTCTTGACAATGCTTTGCGACGCACCTCTTCCTTGTAGTCCAACAATGTTCTCAGCTTGGTAGGCCCGCTCTCTCCGCCCCTGCAAGTGACCTGGATAAAGTCCGAGATAGTACCATAGTATGAACCCTTGAGGATACCGTTGACGGCAGCAGAGGGGTGGCTTATTTGGTACTCTTCGCCCTTGCCAGGACCGTCGCGGGCTATCCTGACAAAGATACCCTTGTTGGAATGACCAGGTCCGACCTTGACCGCTATGCCGTTGATGAGCACAGGATCGATTCCAAAGGAGGCCACTTACACATTCCAGATACCTTGGCGGTGATCTGGTCCATACAATAGGCCTCGATACCCTTCTCGGGGCAGTAGTAGTAGGCCGCAGATACGGGAGGGTGGTGAGACACTTGTTCACACTGGGCAACCATAAGCTTGGCCCTACTTTTGCACTTTCCGCGCTCACCAAAAACACCACAGTAACCTTTTCCGATTCCACAACCCCAGCATCGGGGTCGCCCACCACCTCCGGCCCAGGCCCGGGCACCGACCGGTCCACCTGCGACGAATCAAGCGCCTTGGTCTTCTTGGACGCCTTGCTCGACGACGAGACGATCGAGCTGGCCTCGCTACTCGGCTTGCCGCCGTCTTCCGCCCTCAACACCGGGGTCGTCCATCCGCTCCCGCCCTGCCCCCCGTATGCCGGCTCCCCAGGGATGGGCACGTGCACATGTGTCCTCACCACAGGATCTCCCGTCTCTTTATCCAGCGCCAGCGCGGGCAGCCTCCATGAACACCGAAAGTGCTCCCCGAGGGCCGAGTTGTATGGCTTGCCGAGACGGGTCCGGATAAACTTGAGTTCTTTGCTAAAGCAGAATCGGAGGATGGCGAGCATGCGTTCGAGCTCGTCCGAGGAGTCGCCGACAGCAGCGAGAATGTCGGCGCGGTCGGCGTATTGCCAGTATTCGAGGTTGGGGATGGGCTCGAGGAGGGAAGCGGGGAGAGATAGACGTCTGGCAGTGCATGAGTAACAAGACAGACCATGGATACAAGGGGGCTTACAAGTTGGCGACATCTTTGACACCGATGAGTCTGCACAGACAGTCAGTCTCATACGTCCATCTCGTCCCACCTCAAACGTGCGATCGCAGCGACCCGGTGACCGGCACTCACTTCTTCATGAGCCCCATCAACACCTTCAGTTTACTCTCCTCCCCTCCATTGCCAATCTCGGGCAACGTAGCAGGTGCGCCGGATTCATCAGTAAACTGTTGCGCTGGAGGGTCCAAAAAAAAAGTCGAGGGGGTCAGCGCGTTGTTGTTGGGGAAGGATGAGAACGTGCGGCCTTGGGGGGCACGATGGGAGGGGGCAGGGGAAGGGGGTGCTCACTGGGGTCGTCGTCGGTGGGAATGTTGGGGACCTTCTCTGGCTTGGCAGACATGGTGGGCGATGGGGGGAAGGGAGATCTCGCGATAAGACAAGGCCAAGATTGCGCTGGGAGAGGCAGCGCCAGCAAGGAACAAGGGAGTTCAAATGACGTGCATCCCGAGCCTAGTCCCTATACGAAAGTGTTTGCTTCCGCTAATCGGCATTATAGGACTTGGGCTGTGGCACCCTTCTCTACGCTTTGCATGTAGCGATGCTGCCCCTTCTCAACAGGGGAGGATGCGAGAAGGAACGAGGACTGACGCTGTTCGATGTGGAGATATAAGTATAGCAAGGAATGTAACGGGCACATGGGGTGGCTTCTTGAGCAGAGTGCGTGTGGCCACCATCACCATCACTGTGGTGTCTGTTGATCACGGTACGAATCAAGAACGTTGCTCCAAATACACATATTCTTGGACGACCCGATGCGCCCACGGCAATGGGTATAGTCTTCTCGGGGACAAAGCGACAGAGACGGAATCAATTGTGTTATGTCGGTTGACTGTTCGCTCTGTACATCACACGAATATGATGCGCCGCCACTGTCTGGTGTTGGCCAAGACCGGAAGAGGCTCTATTGAGATACTTCTATGCCTGGTTCAGGCAATGGGAACCATCGGTGCTGGCAAAAGGCATCTCGAGGTTGACTGAGATACTGACGACTTGAGGTCCCCTTCCCACGATTCGTGTCCAAGATCGAGGCAAGCTACACTGATACCACTCGCGTCCTGTCTACCCAGACATACCCTCTCACAGCCTGTACTATACTCGTACACGATGCATAGTGCCATCAAGTTCGAATGATCTCGTACTTGAGTGCCTTATCTTGAAGCCTCCACCGCGACGCGCTCGGCGCCCGCGTACACATCGACGCCTCCTGCCGTTATTTTGGTCCACTCGCTCTCCCAATCAAAAGTTTCGCCCACCAGGCAGGAAAGCATCGTCCTCCCTTATTCCCTCTAGTCACAGGCGCGATGCCTCCCCGTAAAAAGCCCTCCCGGGTCTCCCTCCCAGACCCTCCTTCGCCCTCCCCCTCTGTCCCCTGGGACGTGCCTACCCCTTCCACCGAACCTGCAACTCCCACGACCGAGGGTCTCCGACAGAGGAAACAGGGGGACGATAAGGGTGGCAGAGGAGACAAGCACCATACAGAGTTCAATGTGAAATTGAAGAAGAATGTGAGTTGTCTGCTTGGCTGTGTGGTTCAAAGCTGATTGGGGGCAGGATGACGGCAAATATCATGTGGGTACTATCGCACACAAGGAAAGACCTTTCTGACCGTAGCTGTGAATTTGTATCCAGCTGCTAGGTAAGTCTTCATTGCATAATGTCTGACGATGCTGACCCGACAACAGCACCGGGAACTCCCTTCAATGAGATTGGTACGCACAGCTCGGTCGTGATCAGCGCACGATGGCTAACCTTGAGAATACAGACCTGAGCGAATACTCGTTTTTTGCTCACCATCCAGAACTCAAAGCCAGAGCAAAATCATGGAAGGCATGGATCTTTGGGCGAAAAGTTAGTATGCTCAATGGCAAAAGACGTCTTGACTGATGTTTCGATGTAGTTCTTCTTTCCCGTGTACGCCCCACTTGCCCTATGTGATCAGCACTCATGTTCTCAATAGTGGAATCCTCCTTGGTGTACTGATAGCAGTATGGGCAATGGACTTTTCCTCCCTCCCCGCCGACATGAAAGACGTCTGGACCGCCTTCCCAACCACCCTCGACCCCCGCGACCTCCTCTCAAACCTCACCATGGTCGAAACCGCCCGTAAAGCCATCGAATCGCGCGACTTTGCGATAGGGCAAGAGATGAGTGAAAAGTATGGGATAGAGAAACAACATCCCATCATCCTCATACCAGGAATCATCAGTACCGGGCTGGAGAGCTGGGGGACGGAGACGGTGGCGAGGCCGTTCTTCAGGAAAAGGCTTTGGGCAAGTAGAGAATCAGTACTTGCGGTGTATGACTGACGAGGCTGTAGGGAACAGCTACGATGATTCGAGCAGTGCTGCAGAACAAGGAGCGGTGGATCCAAGCGCTGAGTGTCGACGCAGAGACAGGTTTGGATCCTCCGGGTTTCAAGTTGAGGGCTGCCCAAGGCCTCGATGCTGCCGTGCGTGTGCCTCACACAGTTCAGAATAAGGCTTATCAGCGTGTAGTCCGAGTTCATTCAGGGGTATTGGATTTGGCAAAAGATTGTCGAAAACCTGGCTACGGTTGGATATGACACCAACTCTATGGACATGGCTGCTTATGACTGGTACGGTCACTTCCTATCGTGCACAGGTTCTGGCTGACTCGACGCTCCAGGCGCTTGGCATACTACAACCTCGAGATTCGTGATGCTTACTTTTCCAAGCTCAAGAGCAAGGTCGAGATGATGCACAAACACAACAAGGCAAAGGTTGTCCTGTGCTCCCATTCGTGGGTTCAAACCACTCGTATCCAGAAGATGCGTCATGCTGATGTTTCGCCCGTAATAGCATGGGGGGAAGCGTTGCTCTGGTGAGTCGGACACTGCATTGCGATCATGGTATACTGACGACCCTTCTTAGTACTTGTCAGTGCCACATTCAAAACATCGACATCGACATATACTGACCTGACTAGCCTCAAATGGGTCGAAGCTGATCCCGACGAGTACGGATTCGGAGGAGGAGGCGGTCCTACCTGGGTAGAAGACCATATCGAGGGTTGGATCAATGTTGCCGGTTCATTGTTGGGTGTACCCAAAGCGATGACCGCCTTCTTGTCTGGTGAGATGAGAGATACAGTTGAACTTGTGGGTTGGGTAGTTACCAAGCTCGGAGACACTGTTGACAAAACGTCGCAGCACCCCGCAGGTTCTTGGGTTCTAGAAAAGGTTAGTATAACCCAGCATACAACGATTGGATAACTAGCTCACGGTCCACAAGTTCTTCTCCAGGAGGGATCGAGCCAAGCTGTTCAGGAGAATGCCCGGTAGTGCTTCCATGTGGTTGAAGGTGAGGATCCTCTCTTGGTGCTTTCAGCGCTTATCAGGGATCTATAGGGAGGGAGCCGAGTTTGGGGAACTGAAAAATACGCTGCCGACGATCCTGAAGATGCCACCGACTCCCATGGCCGATTCCTCTCGTTCCGTCACCCGGATGTCCCTGCACATGACTCTGCCCTCGTTGAGAGCACTGTCTCTCCCAATTTGACCATCAGCGAAGCCGGTCCCTACATCCTGACGCACACCCCGCCGAGCTTCCAGAGGATGATGGAGCTAAACTACAGCCAAGGGTATGAATCTGATCCGGCGATTTTGAAGAAGAATGGAGCGGATCATAGAAAGTGGACCAACCCGCTGGAAGTGGAGTTGCCGAATGCGCCTTCGATGAAGATATACTGTCTCTACGGGCATGGGAAGGAAACTGAGGTGAGTCAGCCGATGAAGGGAATGACAGGTGCTCATAACCCTGCAGCGTTCGTATTGGTATATGCAAGGAGAGTATGAGGAGGACGAATCCCGCTCTGATGCCGAGGGTTCGCAAGCCTTTGTAAGTGGCAAGTCTTTTGGAAGTCTCTCAGCTGACATTTTCATCTTCAGTGTGACGCATCCAGCCCCGGTTGCGACAACTCTACAGTCCTACGTGCCCCGCTCGACTTTCCTCTTGCTCGCAAACACTGGATTGACTCTGCTGTCACGGTCAAGGGCAGCAGCCCTGAGGTCCGGTCGGGTGTAAAGTTTGGGGATGGAGATGGGACGATTCCAGTGATCAGTCTTGGGAGTATGTGTGTGAAGGGGTGGAATGGGACCACGCCTTGGAATCCTGCGGGTATCAAAGTGGTGACACAAGGTGAGTATGGTTTCGCGGCGGAGTAAACACGCTGACAAGAAATCAGAATATCTTCATTCACCTGATAGTATCGATCTTCGTGGTGGCGCGCAAACGTGAGTGGCATCCCGAACTTGCATTCGTCTCGATGCTGATGATTCCAAAGGGCCGACCACGTCGATATTCTTGGTGCCTCTCCTCTAAACGCGGCGATTCTCCAGATTGCTGGTGGACGAGGCGATTTGGTCAAGCAAAAGATCGGGAGCAAGATATTCGAGTATACTGCAAAGATGTTGTGGGATTAGATTTGATAGAGCTTGTGACGGCCATGTATCACTTGAAAGTTTCAAGCTCATAGCGGTATATTTGTACATTTGTCATTATACTGTCGTTATCGTCACAGTGCCCAAAAAGATTATGGTCAATCACCCTTTTTCTAATCTTCGTACGCATCTCCACCTTCATCTATGACGATTCGTTAGAGTTGTACAAGTATAAAGAGAAAAGACTTACCATCCCCTTCGTCGTCGTCATCTCCTTCGCCGTTATCAAAGTAGTTGGCATCATAATCTTGATGATCTGACTCGTCATCGTCGAAATCAAAATCTTCTTCTTCTGTAATTTGAGACTCCTGCAAACGGCGTGAGCAAGAGAGGAGGCGTTGAGGAAGAAAGACTGACCTCCTCCACTTTGTCGTCGTCTCCATCTAGATCATCAACCTTTCTTCTCTTCTTCGGCCCTGCATTATCGTCAGCGCTTGCTGGGCTATCAAAGTATGGTACTCACGCTTGCCCTCGTTGGCTTGTCCGTCAAAGTATGCACTCCAGAGCGCCGGCGGGAACATGGCTTGATCCATCCTGAGAGCTAGTGGATCCAGCTTGGAAGAGCCTTTAGGTGCTGGGGCATTGAATCGATCCGAGTACGACTCTATCTCTACACATTGCACGTGTCAGTACTTACCGCGACTAGAAAGGTAAAGATACAAACCAATGCCAACGACTTTCCGTTCGCTCGCTATCCTCCATGGCGGCACCTGTCCCGGCTGAACGATCTGTGCTCCGGGATCGTTCTGGGGTAATTTGCCGGATGACAGTGTATTTTCAAGCGCAATCTCATGAGAAAGGATCATTGACTCGTGCTCTGTTGGGGCAGTGAGGTAGGACGTCGAATTGCTATCCAGAGGCTAAACGGGGCATATGAGCTATATTTTCAAGGTAGGTCATAGTGTAACTCACTGGATACAGAACGCCCCTGTTCTGAGACTGAGCTTTTATCCGGCTGATACCTTCTTTCCACTCTGTCTGCGAGATCTGGCCATAACCAAAACCCACTCCTGGGGGCATCCCTCCCCGACCTCCTCCTCTTCCACCCCTAAAACCACCTCTAGACATTTTTAAGCGATGACCGAAATGAGACCTTCAAGCTGCTCCGTGTATTATAACGGAGATTGGTGTTGGTAAGCTTGTGGGAACTGCACGGTGACTTTGGATCTCGCTGCGAATGGGATGGTCAAAATTCGTGTTGTGCATGTTCTTCTTTGGTGGAGAAATTTAGTTCCGTTCGGCCAAGGCCGCCTCGGGGGATGACCATACTATCGATGGGTATGTAGATAGATGGTTAAGCATGGTAATCATACCTGCTGGCCAACGCTGTATGCACATTCAGAGATGGCGACGTCTCGAATTGGGTATCTGACTCGCGCAGAATTTCGCGTGTAGAGACTGACTTTGTACTTTGCGAACGTACAGATGAACGCACAGCGCTCGGGACACCCGGTAGTAGTAGCGCCCCCCCCCCGCCCTGACTACCTTTTTCATTTTGCTTCCGCCAAGTCCGGCCTGACAAAGCTGAATTATGGGTCGCTACTCTTACCGGGTGTCCCGAGCGCTGTGCGTTCATCTGCACGTCCACTCTACAGCTCTGTGGTTCACGATGTATTTCAATCCTATTTCAATGAGGTACCTATACATATATGTACATCGCCGGGCTAACTGTATAGAAATTACTGATATCTCAATACTTCAATCCATCTTCTGAAGCTTGACATTGGATACAACACGTTCGGCGTCCATCTGATCCCAACCCTTTCCCCCAGCCAGACTGACACACACTTTGCCCAGATGCGAGGCATCAATGACCTTTGACGGGTACACCACCTTGAAAGCTGCACAGCCCGCTCTCAGGCTGCGCCCAAAGAGCCAGTGCATACGTGGTATATGCTACGACAAGTGTGTCAGTTGTATGGCCGAAACAATGTTGCCGAGACTGACCTCGTCGGTGGGATTGATGCCCGCGGGCCTCACTGTCAGAGGCGAAAACGTCTTGGACGCCATAGCCGCAAGCTCCTTCTCTGTCTTTCCTTTGACTCTGCTGAACAGATTCCATCCCTTCTCGTCTTGCCTGGCGCCTTCTCCAGACATGAAGACGAAACGGAACGGCTCCGACTCGGTTCCCAGGGCAGAGAAGGCCTTGGCGGCTTCCACTGTGTAATCGTGGGTGATCCTGTCATAGAATCAGCAGATGGTCTTGCCAGAAGTACCTGGTCCACTTGCTTGTAGTACTCGTCCTCTTTGACCTGTGTCTGGCTGATTCCCAAAGCCCAGATACAAGCACCATGACCTCTCAGCCTCTCCACCAGCCGGGGCTCAATCTCGTCAAAGCCTTTTGAGTACTCGCTTGATGGAATCTGGATAAATTCGACCTTAGGATTAGTCTCGTAGGGTGGGCGGCGAGCCAGAACTGTGATGTGGGAAACGTTGGGAGAAGCGATAGCCGCTGAAAGTACGGCGCTGCCGGCTGAAGGTTAGGGTGTCAGCGCAAACCCCTGCAAAGATGGATGATATGCACCATTGCCTGTAGCCCCTGTGATGATGATCTTTGACATGTTCAATTGTTGTAGGTGGCCGGGAAATGGGGAGCAAAGTGAAAATGCTCCTTGTTATATACCGCGTGTTGACGATGTGTTGAGACCCCCGGGCATCACCCCCGGGCATTCCGCCGAAGCCGGAAGCCCACGTAACGCTGTCGGCCTCATGCTAGCCAAGGTTCATCGTTTAGAGATAGGTCCACAGTACGTTTCAAATGCAATGAGCGGACACTCGACACTGGGTACACTGGAGCGAGTCTTGGTGGGTTTGCTGTGAGTTCAATATCATCATATATCGCACCATACCTTCGCCTTCGGGCCAACTCTGACTCCGTGAAGACCTATGGTGGGGTATCATCATCATCAAGGGGCATCACGGTATACCTCACGAATGTCTATTGACGGAAGCCAAATGTGGTGGTCTGATGACGTTAAATTAGAGTGCAAGACGAAGGCAGCTTCAAGGAATAACCATGAACCAATTATATTATTGGACTCTGCTGCATTCAGGGACTTCGGGTATCTTTCCCAACAGGTCCCTTCCAGGAGATCTGGGTGGCTAATCAGGCCCTCATGCGGAGAATTTCGACTGGGACCGCCCTCAAGTTGGCCAATCAAACGCGTCGCGTTTCACTCTCAGCCGATTAATTAATTTGGCGGCAAATTTTGTAAACAGGTTAGAAATGTATATAAACAGATCTCCACATGACATAATCCATACTCTATCTTTTGCTTTCCTCATCCACGCCACCATGTCTTCCTGCTGCGGTAACAACAAGAACGGATGCTGCAAGGGCAACAACGCCCAGGCCAGTGCCAGCACCGACGCCTCCGTCCCCCTCCTCAGAGGCAACAAGACAAACCAGTCCGGCCCCAACGCCAACGCCAGCAACTATGGTTCTGTCTGGTCAGTCAACAGCAGCAACACCGCTACCTCCGACAGGGCCCAGCAGCTCCAGACCGTCCTCGGCGACTCGGAACCCTTGGGAAGCAAGTGTAGTGCTCATGAGAGCGGTGGACAGTGCTGTAAGTTGGAGCGCTTCTCAGACGCGTCGTGTGAAAGTTTGATTTCGAAGATATGCTGACCATGATATTGCAGGCAAGGACCTCAAGGGCGAAGACGAGAGACATCTAATCAGCCCCGAGATTGTCCGTGACGTGTAAGTGCATGGTACAAGCCCCCGCAAACATGGCTGACCTAGTCATTCGCTCCTTTGTGCTCCACTTCAATTATACAACCAATAGCATCATTGGCCTGTCAGATGGACTCACCGTTCCCTTCGCCTTGACCGCTGGTCTCTCCTCCCTCGGTAGCTCTTCTTTGGTCGTCACTGGTGGTCTCGCCGAGCTCTGTGCTGGTGCCATCTCTATGGGTTTGGGTGGTTACCGTAAGTCATTGCGCCATTCAACGCTAAGATACGCTAACGATTATGTCAGTTGCCTCCCAAGCTGAACTCGACCACTTCCACTATCTCCGCCGCCAGACTCATGCCCGTGTCCTTCGGTCATGCTCTGGTGAAATGGAGCGTGAAATCCACTCTATTCTTGGTCCTCTTGGTGTAAAGGAGACCCTTTCGCGACTCGTCGCTGAAGATCTCCGGGCTGTGGAGGAAGACATTTACGGTACCGACGAGACTGTCGGTGTCGAAGGTGTCGTCACTCAATCAGGCCGTGTGACTCCCATTGATTCCAAGAGGAGCTGGAACCCTCTCAGCTGGAGGAAGAAGCACGTCGAGGAAGAGAGCGGTGGCTTTGAGGGTACCGAGGACATGGGCATGACTGCTTTCCTGTTAAAATTCGGTGAAGGCATGGGTGAGCAATTTCAATCAACCACCATTAGCAATTGCTGACACCCATTACAGAGGAAGTCCCCGTCTCCCGACTGTACATCTCTGCTCTCACTATCGGTCTCTCCTACTTTATCGGTGGTCTCATCCCCCTCATCCCCTACATGGCCACCTCTTCCGCTGAAGACGGTCTCGTCGCCTCCGCCATCATCACCTGTATCATTCTCTTCATCTTTGGCGGTTTCAAGACCTACTTTACCGGTGCCACCGGCGGTTGGTCTGGATACGTCTATGGAGCTGTTAGCACGATGATTGTCGGTGGTTTCGCGGCCGGGTCGGCCTTTGGGCTGGTCAAGGTCATGGGCGTTCAGGAATAAGCGGATTGGACGAACAGTTTCATTCATGCCACTGGTCAGATTGCATGGGTCCAATGGGCTTGTTGGACCCATCGGCCATGAGTCTTCTATCTTTTTTTTCAACATTGATCATCATTCTACATATGTACAATTACAATTAGCTGGTTGTGCAGCACTACACCGACGATGCAACCATAGACATTCTCTTTCGGGAGTACAAGAGGTGACACAATTGAAAAGGAAGGTTCAAAGCGCGCAGGTCAGAAACAAATGCGAGATCATGCATGCTTCTGACGATTGTCCGCATATATATAGCTACATTAACAGCTCTTCAAGCTGGTGATATCTTCGTTCAATGCTCTCCCTCCTCACCAAGAACGCCATCCTCCTATGCAGAATGACAAAACCACCGTACAAATACTAGTCAGATGCGAGAAGAAAATGGGTATATATGAATGATGTCTTGGAAATGTATTTTTTCTACAGTTATGAAAGGGAGCGGAGAGGGGGAGGGGGTGGAGGTCTCGTCCTCTGGCGTAAGCACCAAGAAGGCGGTCATTCAGTGCAGATGCTTCTTTTGTTCCTCGCGAAAGAGGCTGGATTTTGGTTTTCCTCAATGGGAGTGAATGCTTCTCCCCACCGCGGTCATCATCGCTTGATCTCCTTCTCCTCCTCTGGACTCTTCTCTTCTAGGGCCGACTCGCCTGTTCCCATCCATGTCCTCGCCTTCCCGAGCCTGCCTGTACCCCCAGCTGCAGTACTAGCCAAGCTTTCCACAGCTGGCCGCATCTTTTTGAAACTCGGGCGTTTCGTCAGCCCAGGAGCTCCGTTTCCAAGGACCGAGTCTGGGTGGATCTCGGTCGGGCTAGCACGGCGCTTGGCGTGCGACTCGTCGTCTGTGCTACCGCTGGCACTGCCCGTCGTCATGGATGGTACTCCCGCCGAGGATAGCAGACCGCTTCCAACAGAGCCGGTCGTCGACGCTAAAGACCCTGAGCCGGAGCCCAGTGTTTGCAATGACCCCGCAGAGCCAGAAGAGCCAGACGACCCCTTTTTGTTGCCCTGTGTACCCTGTAGAGGTACGCTTTCGGGCCGTGCGATATCGCTTGAGGTCTCTTCGTCTTCAAGCATATTGAGATAATGATAGATGATGGCTCGGTGCACAAAGAGATACTGGCGTAATGTCTGAACAAGAGACATGCGTTGAACTCGCATCCCTTCAAGGACAGAGGACACGGGGTGGTTGAGACGGGAGATTGGGGATGGGCTGCGGTGGCGGCGGTCAGAGCCAATAACAGGCTTTGGGCGACCAACTCGTTGCTGGATTCTACATTTCAGAGTCAGCTTGTGTAGCAGTCTGCTTTGCGACAACTCACGACTCGTCTGACAGCCTCTCTGATTGAGTGTAAATGGAAGAGAGACTCGGTCTCCTCGTATCGTTATCACTTGAAACGCTCGCCACAGAGCTGCCTCTGTATTTCGAGAATGCACTCCTCTCATCTTTGAAAGACGCTTTGGCCGCGTCCAGATCCATGCCCTCCATACCCTTCTCTTGCTGAGCAGGCAGGTTCAGATTGGATACTGCCGCTCCATCATCACCCGCAGGCAATGTCCCAGGAGACGATGTGAATGGTGGCGTCACGGGCGTCCCGCTCAATGTTCGCTTGACTGGGCTGACACTGAGGAGATGGCTGTCGGGCGCACCGTTGGCTGGTGTCTGGGAACCGGAAGACGCTGCTGGCGCAGAATTGGCGTGATGAGGTGGGATAGCCTCGGGCTGGGAAGCCTCCTCGATGAGAGACTGTGAGCGTTTTCTCGACTTTTCCTCGTGAATCTCGCGTTGAAGGCCGTCGAGGACGGCATCGACAACGATGAAACTGCCCGTTCTGCCGACACCGGCAGAGCCTGTTTGAAGGGTCAGCAAAGTCAGGTTTACTCAAATGATGACTTACAGTGCACCAAGACAGGGGGCTGTTCAGACTTTCTCTCACAACCCTCCGGCTTGACCTGCTCAGCAGCCAAATTGACATCGTTGACCAATCTTAACAACGTTTCCGGCTCTTCCGGGACATCAAAGTCTGGCCATCCGACACACTGGATCTGCACGACTTTTCTGGGCGGTTCCTCGGGTTTATCGGTGCGAGAGAGTAGGAAGGTACGCGTAATGTTGGCTTCGTCGCCTTTGGGGAACTGGGATGAAACAGGCGTCGCGGCAGCGGGTCCGAAATCAAAGCCTGCAGCCGCCGACGGCTGACCCTTGTCCTCGCCTCCAGTCTGTTTCACCTTTTCTAGCTTCAGATGACCATACTGACGTTGATCCCAGTAATTGCCACACTTGATCAAGCCGCCCTCAAACTGCTTGGTGATCATGACAATGACTCGCACATTCTGTTCCCAGACTAGCGTCCAGAAATCACGATAAGTGGCGTCGAGAGGACCCTGAGTGGCAATGTAACGACGGGCCGTTCCACGAGGTTGGACGAAGGACGCGTTGATGTAATCAGAGTCTTGGTCAGGCGGCGACTCGAGGCGGACGCGCGAAAAGTCATAAGGCCAGATATTTTTGTATCTAGGGAATCTTGGTCAGCACGCTACTAACAACACTTCAGACAAACTTGCCTGTTCTTCGTACCCCTCTCGACGCCGGCAGTGATAGAGAACGGGAAATACTCGTGCTCGACCTTGCCCGTCTCCCAATTGACCAACCTCTGCAACTCTGACATATCACACTGGTCCTGCACAGCCCTCTCCCAGCTCGCCTTTTCACGCTTCCCTTCCGGCTGATGCGGCGCAGAGCCTTCCCCATACTGCAAGACACCGCCTGACCCTTTGGTATGCCATTCCATGACTGCCTGAAGACGTCTCTGCTCATGCAGCTCGAGATTATAGAACTCTTGAGCAAGCTGCTCTTGAGACTCCTTCTCATCCATGGTCACCAGCTCGCGCAGCCATGCTGGGAACTTGTCGGCATTCTGTCTGACCGAAGCAGGCAGGTTGAGCGGAATCCGTTCGGTGATGCCGCCATGAGACAATTCGAGATTCTGTCGGATATTGTCAAAAAAGGGATTGGCAGGCTGCAGCTTGGCGGCCGAGGGTCGGGCATTGTCGAAGCCGGGTATAGTCATTGACGGCGTCCTATTGGTGGGACGTTCGGTAGCGGCCGTGTCCATCGACAAGGCGCCAAATGGGCTCGAGGTGAGATTGAACGCTGGCGTGGCGGGTATAGTGAGGCCTTTGGGTGGCGGCTGACGTCGAGATTTGACACCGCCTGCCGTTGATTCTGTTCCTAATCAGCAACTTGAAGAGAGCAGACTGGATTTACGCACCTTGCATGAACGCTGCTGACGTTAACCCGCCTGCCATCGAACCCCTCTGTGGGCCGGCGCCTTCCCGATGTCGAGACGCTTCATCGCGCTCGTCAGACACCAGGGGAATCGCGCCACTCGACTTGATCGCCGCATGTCCACCTTTTACGACCCACAATCCCTTGGTGTACCCCTCTCTGGTGAACTTGGACGCCAGACCGTCAAGAACGCCACCTGCTGACAACGACGAGCTGTCGGCGTCGAGCAGGACAATGTCCGACTTTTCACGCCAATGGAAGACATCACGACTCGATTCAGGCGAAAGCATTTGTACCAATTTTGATATATCGAAGCCGGATCGGCGGAGAAGCGTCGATGGGATGGTGATGGAGTGGGAATTTGGTATATGTGACGCTCTGAAGGAAGAAGGTGGGCGGACGTCGAGGACGAGGGTGGTGGAGCGAGGCAGGACTTTGGCAAGATCGGCGACGGAAATCATCTGAGCCTTGATGCCCGACTGACCAACATTGGTGGCAAGAGGACTGGGCGACTTGGTGGAGTGCGGTGGAGCCAGACTGGTAGGAAGTTTGATCGGCAAGGACGTTTTTCTCCTTTCTGCAGACAAGGCTGCAGGGTCAAAGAATCCGCTGTCCCCTAGGCTCGGCTCTGGATCACGCGTCGACCGAGCAGGCTCTTCAAACAGATTGGTACCACTCCAGCTATTGCCGATGTTGAGCCTTTCAAAAGGATATCCGAGATGGGGACTGCTTCGGCCCAGCGGCCCACCCTCTATCGACGGCGTGGGTGCACCCGAGCTAGCTGCGAGTGTCTGCCAGGGCGACGGCGGTTCGTTTGCCGGCGTAGCAAAGGGCTGATGGATGTTGTACTGACGGGCAAGGGGACGGCCGGCCTGTTCGGGGGAGTGGAAAGGAGAGTGGGACATGGGGGAGTGGGTCGGGGACGGCGAGAAGGGAACGGCGGGGGGCGGGCTGCGATGTTCTGTGGCATTTGGAAAGTTGGGGATGGCAGCAGGCGGGGCACGGCGCACGGTGGGGGCAGAGGCAGGCGGGCCGGTGGGGGGGAAGGAGAATGTGAATGCAGACTGGTCGTCGCCCATGACGATGTCGTGCGAGGGGTGGGTTGTGTCCCCGGGCAATGGTGTGGGCGTTGGCGTTGGCGGCGGTGGCGGGTGGGGGGGCGTGGGGCATGGCCTAGCAGGGGGTGGGCATGGCGTGGGCAGTACGGATGTTGAGTGATAGAGGAGAAGGTGAGTCAACTGCCTCGACGCCATTCAAATCATCCTCGGTGCCAGCGCTCGTCTCCACTTTTTCCATCCCAGCCCTGAGCAGCCCTGGGCCCTGGTGATGTCATCCGCCTTCCTTTCTTCTGCTACATATTACATCCCATCCATCCTGTTTGGGCGGCCGTTCTGCTTTACGCACTCCCCGTATGCATATCCTGCATAGCACGGGACTATGCAAGTGCATCCAGCTGCAAAAGTACTTCGGCCGTGAAAATTCTTTCTCCAGATGACGTTGAGGCTCGCGCATCTCCCTTTTGTTCGTCAGCAAACGCGTCAGAATAAATCCGAGAGCGACCAGGTTATTCCGCGCCAGCTTTTGCCGCCCATTCTCGCAGATCTCTCGTCATCCATAACACGCGGCAAAGACGCGAGTGCTTGTATACTCATACAAATGTACAGTACTGGAGTACCTGCACTTTGGCATCGCCTTGATTGCCCATATTACATCCCGTTCCTCTTCTCTGCTAGCTAGACTATCTTTCGCAGACTCGCTTTGGCGGGCTCCTCGTCGGGATGACCGCCTGATACGCTCCCGCATTATGATGGGTATTGGATACATTTGCGTGATAATTATACTAGGCAACAACAATGAATTCAACTATATAAGTAGTTTTCAGACGCCGAAAGCAGCGAAAATGCCCTCTCCACTCGTCTCGTGCAACTGCGCGCTCACGCTGCTCGTT